CATGTGCACAGACACATACTCACACAGGCGGGTAGTTGTTTTTTTTTTTTTTTTAATGTTTCTTTTAACTTAGACCATCAAAGTGTTGATGATTTTGTCCTCAGAGAGTGGAGTGGTGGTCATTGTTGGTAAGATACCACGGTTTCAAAGGGCGAGAGAAAACAGAGAAGCAATCGTGGTGGCTCCTCACAGTTTGTAGCCAAGAGGCTTCACGTAAGGTTTGCAGAATTTGACCCGTGGCTCTTTCTGTGACGAGATGCTAGGCTTCGAGTAAGAACCAAAGAGTGAAGGTTCATACAAAATGGATAAAAACAGATTGAAAGTGAGAGGGAGAGAGAGAGAGAGAGAGAAAGAAAAAAACAAAAACATCATTCCAGTTTTAACTTTGTACTTGGTCACTTATTAAATGTCATATATTTATATCTATATATATTCACAAAATTAATATATATGTATATATATATATACACATAATATATGTATACATATATATTTATATATATATATATTCTTTTTTTTACAATTAAAAACACAATGGATTTGACAGACTATTTGGTTTGTTTTTGTCTAAGTAGAACCGTTTGTATTGTTTTGCAAATAAATGCATGTGTCTTTATTCTTTTTCCCCATACAGTACGGCCAGTCATTGTAAAGGTGGTCACTGTAGAAGTCTCTGTGTGGTTGAATCCATACATTATACACATCATCGGTACATTTTTTAGAATTTCTGTTATTTTTTTTCTTTTTCTTTTTTCTAAACTGATAGGTCCATTAGCGTCCCACAGATGCAGAACACCACATACTATGTCAAATGTCTTTTATACACTAACAAACCATAATCAAATGTACTTAATCTGACCCTCTCATTGGCCAGCGTTGCCCAGGTCTCTGTGTGATTGGCTGAGGCTGACTAACTGGGTCTGCGTCGGTCCATTCCAGCTCAGCGCCCCAGCATTTGCTCCGTTAAAGTTAAGGAAGCAAACAGTCTCTCTGGCTGCTGGTCCGCCGTAGCTGATTCCCCCATCTTCATGCTTCCTGTGAGCCACAGCCAATGCCAAAAGCTGCTGCTGCGCCTCCTCCAACAACAGGGCGACCTTATCCTGCTGCAGGCCATTGGTGGATGAGAAGGAAGCGGATGACAAATTGGCGTGCCCTGCTTTTACTCTCCTTTTATCCTTGTAGGGTGTGGCTCTGCAGGCACCAGACTTTGCTGTGACGGGTGAAGTGATGCAGGTTTGCATACATGACACCTCACTGTCATGATGACATTGCACCGAGGGAATGATTGGGATTGAAGACGAGCGGAACAGTGGAGGCGGGGATTGGTTGTCATGACGATGGGGCCTTTTTAAACTGCGGGAAGCGTGAATTAGATCGTTGTGCTCCAAGGGAGCACACAGGCCCGAGCCACCCTCTGCATGCAAGACGGAATTTTTCAAGCGTAGGAGGGCATCTCTCCTGGCCTTCTCACACAGGTTTTCTCCTTGTGCTCGGTCACTGAGGATAAACAGGGAGCAGAGACAGACAAAACACAGACAAGAAAGAAAACAACCGTTACTCAACTGAAAATAAAATGCTTTCATACTTTGAAGACGAAAGAAGTATTCAAAGGAATTTTTTTTTCCAACATCCACCCTGAATATCCTTAAGAAATACCAAAAGAAAGCCTTTGTGTAGCTGCTTTTCAACCTTGGGGTCGTGCTCCCCGGTACCAGTGACCAACGGACCAATGTCATCCGCCCATGGACCAGGTTTTGGAGACCCCTGCTTTATACCCTTAGCCATCACACAGTTTAATTGGCGATGAATACATAAGAAGATATTAAGCTTTACTTCATAGTCGTTTGTGGACAGACAAAAAAGAAAACCCAAAAACTTTTACCATTTACCTTATCAAGGCTGGCTATAGTATATGCTGTTGAATTCCACAAAAAAACCTTAACGCAATCCTTTACCTACTAATCCACAAGCGTAGCTGCTTTTCAACCTTGGGGTCGTGACTCCTTGTGTAGTCGCTTGAAATTCGAATATGGCCACCTAAATTTTTTGTCAGTAATTTCTCATTACATTCCTACAATTACTAATTGATTTTAAAACATGATAAAAATATGTTTTCAACTAGTTATTATTATTTTTAAAATTAAGACTTTAAACAGCACACACACAATCCTAAACAATTGCGTTCTTTTAATTTCATGAAAATTAATCTAGTTAAAACTTAATCATTATTGACATCAAGATCACGATTGTGACAAGTGATAGCTACTAATGCGAGTCTGTGTGCAGAAATGTGTGATGTCAAAATGGGCTCACAAGCTACAAAAGGTTAGGGAACCAGTGCTCTACACCAGTGGTCCCTAAAGTTTTTTGGAGCAAGAACTGGTCGACCGGTATCAACCGTTACTGTGGACCGGTAATACCGCACCATCCTTGGAGAATTATTGCATTTTCGAAAACATCTCGCAATCCTTTACCTACAAGCACAATGTAACCCACAAGCTCTATGTAAAGTAAACCCAACTGCAACACAACGGTACTCTGAGGCAGACAGTCGGGCAAAATGGGAATTTATTGGCAATTTTAAAATCTAGAAAATGGGTAACAAATAAGACAAAAGTGGGAAAATAATTATTTGGCAACAGGTGTTTAAAGAAGTTGAGATTTGAGCCAGTAGTAACCAGCCAATGGAAGTGAGGAAGAATATCAAATTTACTTGGAGAGGGTTCTTGACCATGATGAGGCCAATTAATTAGTCAGAAGGGGATCAGAGGAACGATGCAGTTACAAACCTTGTACAAGCCCACAGGAGTATAGAGACAGAAGATGACTTCAACAGGGGCAGGTAGATGACAGGTAAATAGGGGCAGAGGTGCAAAAAGTACTAAAACATGTAATTAAGTATCTAAGTAATTAAGTAAAGTAGCTTTACTTTGCTAAAATCCCACTAAAGTAAAAGTCTAAAAATCTTGAGTAAGTAAAATGTGCTTAATTTAAAATTTACTTTGAGTAAAAGTTACTTAGTTACTTGAAGTAAAAAAGGACGAGTCCTCCATCCAATCCGCAACTGGTTGTTTTTAATCAACAATTCGAATACAAGTGGAAGAAGTGGAGAAAAAAAGGACGAGTCCTCCATCCAATCTGGTTGTTTTAGTGGAAGAAGTTGAAAATTCTATACTGTAAATTCAAGCCACTAAAGAGTAGCCAAGTAAAATACTTGAGTCAAAATGTACTCAAGTAAAAGTAAAATTACATATTTCAAAAAATACTCAATTTCAGTAACATGAGTAAATGTTGCCTGTTACTTTCCACCTCTGAAAAGGGGAAGGTGTATAAAAAAGTCACCAAAATACTATACATCATAGTGTTTTCGTAAGTATGTTCACCTACAATCTGACCCAAAAAATACCCAGTACTCTGGTTGCTTTCACTAGGGTACCCAGATGCGCCACTAATGCAAACTGTACAGATATTATAGTGTTATTACAGTACTACATTTGGGACACGGCTGAACACTGTCAGAATCAGTTGCTAAATCTGGGACGGGCCAAATTCAACAACTCTGAATGAAAGTTTGACTTTCTGCACAGACAGCCCTTTATTTCAGTGCTACTGACGTGACATTTTGGTTTCTCAAACATATAAAACTAGGTTGCTCTCAAGACTCCATCAAGTCTCTGCAATTTTCTGTGCTTAAGTATTGCACAGGCGTCTAGAACTCCCATGTGTGTTTCGGAAAAATCTGAAGGAGAGATACCCTGATTTGCCTTAGCTGTTAAGCTTAAAGGGGTCATATGAGGTAAAGTCTGTGTGTTCCATACAGATAACTTCAATTTTTAAAATGAGCTGGGCTTTTAAGAATCACGCCTACTTTGTCCATTAAGGTCACAAGCCCTTTACTTAAGAAAACCTACATCCTCCAAAGGGCATGCCATGCCTTAAAGTTACATACATTTTGGCTCTCTGACAAGAATAAAAAGGAAATATTACTTAAAGTTATACATATACATATACATATATATACATATATATGTAGACACTTGAATCTGTACCTTAAACGTACACTACGTAACTTACATAAACTTAGAATTAACTTAGCTTACATATTTCTTTTCATTCTTTCCTTTTTTTTTTTTGCTATTTCTTCTTTAGTGGGCATCATGCTCATATTTATCGACAATTTCATACTTTATGTCCATGGTCATCATGCGTTTCTTCTTCTCACTACCATCCTTACCACTCACTCTCTTAGGACTCATCACTATTAAGAAGAATAATGCACAAAATAGAGAGAAAATCACGTGGATAACGCAAACAAACTCACAGGTGGGGGTACGGAAGATGCACAAAATAGAAAGTGAACGAGTGCTCAAATCTTTACTCGTATCTCAAAGCAAAAATTTGCTCGAAGGCTTGCTTGTATCTCGGAATACTCGTACGTCAGGACGCTCGTACCTCAAGTATTACAAGCATTTTAGTATATATATATATGGAAATCCCACCTGAGTGCCATACAAAATCATGACAAGTGCACTAATTAATTAATGCTTCAGACAATGAGGCATAAACATGTCTAGCCCTAAGTAATTTATAACCTCTGCAGGATTTATTTTTATCCAGCCATACGAAGTTTCAATTTTATTTTTCTCTCTGTCTCTCTTCTCATTCCCCTGACACACATTTACAGTTCGTTAAATCAAACAGCAACATACACTTATATTTTCCATTGAGGTGTGCAAAAAAATAGAGGTAGGTGGAGGAGGTGCACTTTAGGGCTCAAAGGAAATCATATTCTCCTTTTATTGCTGCGGTATTTTTCTGAGACATGAGAGGCACAGCAGAGACATTGCGAGACCACTGAGAGGATCCTGCCAGTGATAAGAAAGGACGAGGTGAGGGAGCTAATTCCCCAGATAACATTCACAGACAAATCTCTCTTTTGATGTGTTGAAATACAATCAGATTTCAAGAATCCATGAAGCAGAGTTCAAATATAGACTCCGGTGCAGTGAGGGAGAAGCACAGGAGTGTTACAGAGGAGGAAGTGTGATAGATTAGTGACCCGCTTCATATCTTTTACAGCGGCTCATAACGTATACATGTGCTAATGGTTATTTTTTCGTTCATCTAGACCCTGCAAATCGTGTCTTTATAGATGTCATCTCTTGATTTTAATTAAATTATGCAATTTGCTGCAGTGACCTTCTACCACTGACAAACGTTCCACACTAACACAAAGACGAGCACAGTGAAGGTCCGCGTATGCCTACGTGAAGACGGTAAAAAAAAAGTGAAGCATTTCAAAAATATAATTAGCAAAATTAACAAATTGTCGCTTTGCCGGCTGTTTCTGAAGAGAGAACATCTTAAAAATAGAAGTAACAACATTCAACAAGCCTCCATTGCTGTCAGACATTTTGTCGAGATGACACAACACTTCTGGAAGAAGCACAGAATACAGCGGGCAACCAGCTCTCTTTTCAAAGTCACATGCAATCTGAACACTCTTTATCGCATTCTTCTATATCCTGTAGTGGTACAATTTCTTTCCTCTTCGCTCTGCCTGTGTGCCAGAGTGAATTCAAACTTCTTGTCGCTACATTTCGGTTTCCCATATCTCTCTCTCAGATTGTGTTATGTGCAGTCACAGTTGTCTCCATAGCAACTCAAAGTAGGTTGCTGTGGGCTATGTCTGAGTATGTGTTGGTCAGTGGCTTTGTCAAATGTGTTTGATTTGACGGATTGTTGTTAACAAAATCTGAGACAGGAAAACCAAAATTTGAAGTACGTCTTGGATTGTAATACTTTTTTTGTTTTTGTTTTAGCGTTGTCCTTTGGGTACAGGTGACCCTGTGGTATATTATCAGCCACCAGGTCACCTATACCCAAAGGACAACGGAAGGGTTAATGAAACCTCTGTAAATGCAGTACTGTGAACATATACAGTACAAAGCAGCCTAAGCAAAATCGACAACAATTGCCTTATCAGGGTTTTAAGTGGCAATTACAGTCTGCTCAAGGTTAGCAGGAGGAATAAGGGTAAAAAACCCAAGTCACTTACATGGGGGGCAGTGCCCACCGATGCAATAAATTACTGTCCTTTATGAAGGACAACAACTGAAGTAAAGTAAAGTTGAGTCATACTGTAGCTGGCTGTGGTCACATAGAGCAAGCTCAAAAGGGTTTTGTCTTATTCTCTTTTATTATACATCCATCCATCCATTTTCATCCGCTTGTCCGTTATCTGGTCGCGGGGGCAGCAGTCTCCATGACCGCCACCCAAATCACACTGCACCGCACAAACCCCTTGTAAAGCTTCCTGGGGATGGTGAGTCCACTGGAACGTGCCAACCGCCCTAACCGGGATTCACTGCCTGTGGGCCAAAGCGCCACTTTCTTTCATTATCTCTGTCTATAAATTTTGTGCTCTTCCTCTTGGGTCATCCTCGGTATTTGTTTCAAGTTTCAAGTGCATGTATATATATTTGTGCCTGTATTAAATATTGCCATTGAAAGTAAATATGTATATCCTAACCCGGAGGTTCCCAAAGTGGGGGGTGAGTGTATCATGAGAGGTGAAAGTGAATTATTTTTTATTGTGACACAGCACACCACTGCACACAACCAAATGTGACCTCTGCTTTTAACCCATCACCAAAGTGAACAGTGGGCAGCGTTAAGCACCCAGGGAGCAGTGGGAACCGAGCTTCCAGACCCAAGTCTGCTTCCTTAACCACTAAGTCACGGTGAACGGTCGTAGCTGATAGGTGCACTTTGATCAGTCTGGACGAATCACCTCGCCCATCAGCTTAAGCAAACTTAAAAAAGTTCTAAGCCATTAGATGGAGAGCCGATCAGGGAACCGGTACAGCTGCATGGTCGGTGGTGCTGTGTGATACCTGCCTGATTTAACAGCCCCTAGGGGGCGCAGTGGCATTGCAGGTGCGGAGCAGATAGAACTAACTAATGAAACTGAACACAGCATATTGTGTGTGTCCTGTTTTTTTATTTTTGGTTGGGGATGCACGAAGCAAATGAGGGCGTAGCAGAAACAGTTTGGGAACCACTGTCCTAACCTAACCCGTCCTTACCTGTTTTAGTGGTTGTAATAGGGACTGTTAACGATTTCACGCTTAATTTTTTATTTGCTGCGCACTGACACTAGTTTTGGGTTCTACTGTTAACGATTTCACGCTTAATTTTTAATTTGCTGCGCAGTGACACTAGTTTCACTCTAGGTTTGGGTTCACACTGCAAAGTAATGGACACTTACTCCTCAACTAATGTGCATTAATTTATCCACCTCTAGCCACCTCCATAAACATTATTATGAAACCATAGTAGCATCACAGTGGAAAATGTGCAGCTCAGGTGTCATTCCAAAGAGATACTTCCATATAAACGATGGATCACTATGCAAGCCTTTGAACAAAGATTGAGATACATGGGGATCTAAGTGAATGAAGCACAAATGACAGCAACCATCAGCCATTTATCTTCAACCCTGAGCTTCTCTGTAAATCTACCTCTCTTTTGTCTGTGTTTATGTAAGGTGGCTATATCTTCTCTTTCAGTTTCTACTAATATGAATGTAGGTTATGTGGAGAGGGAGAAGCCGTAAAGTGTGGTTTGTCTGTCCAGGTGCTTATTAGCTACTGTAACGCCGACAAAAAAAAAATGGGTCAAGCACAGCGGCTCTCACGCTGAATGCATTTTAGTCCTAATCGTTTCCAATGATCATCGGGAAAATCCCGCTGCGTGCTGCAATGCTTTTTTTTTTTTTTGCGCGGAAGGGTAGCTGTGCGGTTTCGCATTTCAATGTTGGAATTTTAATAAACCCAGTGAAGACTCTGAGTCCCAGTCTGCAGCGCATTGTTAGAGATTAATATTGTAATCAAAAGAGTTCCTTCCCAAGTCTTTTAGAAAAAAAGATATATATATATACACACAGACAGGATAAGACACACACAAAAAACCCAAAATCCCCAGCATTAGGTAGGTAGGTAGATGGGTAGATGGATGGATGGATGGATGGATGAATGGATAGATAGATAGATATAGAGATAGATAGATATAGAGATAGATAGATAGATTCTAAGCCAGGGGTGTCAAACATACAGTTTGACAAAACATGTGACACCCACATGTTTGTGATGTTTTGTCAAATTATATTTCATTAAATAAATATTTCCTAACGAGCAAATTATATTTCATTAAATAAATATTTTCTAACGAGCTTGTGCTTATTTGCATAAAAACAAAGGAGAAAGAAAACATAGCTTATTTGCATGAAAACAAAGGAGAAAGAAAACATGGACTTGGATGAACAAGCATGTTATGATTGTACTGGTCCGGCCCACTTGACAACTAATCAGGCTAGATGTGGCCCGTGAACCAAAATGAGTTTGACACCCCTGTTCTAAGCCTTTCCTCACCGTCTTTGTGCTTCAGATTCCTTCTCAGTTGGATCCACTTCCTGCAAATGTTGGTAAGATGGGCCTAAATATTTGGATACTCCAATTGGGTTCAGCCTTCCTTTAGTGATTGGTGGGCTTCTGCGTGAAACAGACCAGTGGGTGAGATTGTTTTTTTGATCTGGGCGGTGAAGCATGGGCCCACTCCTAGAAAAAGAAAAGAAAAAATGCCCATTAAATACAATGGTGAAGGCAGTGAAAATGTTTTAATCGATACCATTCTGACCATGGGTTTTCTCATTGACTACCTAATAATAATTTATGCTTCATAATAACTACTTTCATTAGTCTGTGCCCTAGTGGAGAGGAGGCAACATTTTGCTTTCTGCCTTATCAACATCTACTTCAGATCAGTCACACAATAGCTGTTGGGTATCAGAAGAAAATATCAGTAAAAATGTATGGATTTGTTATGGATGGCTCAATTGTATACTCAGGATCAGTATCGGTTCGATATGGGTCAAAATGTCAGGATTGAGCATAAAAAAAAACAACTATAGCGCGTCCAATCTGATACCTTAGAGAAAAGAAGGTATCGAACTGATACCGTTATGAAAAGAGTATCAGTATCTGAGTTGTATGGAACCATCCCTAGTATTTATTACTATGACTGAGTCATCCCAGCTAACCAACCTTAGTGTACTTATGAAATTTGAAGAAAACATTTGTAGGCATAGCTCATATATCAGTGTTTCCCAATCTTTTTTTTCAGGAGACCCATATTTTAAGTCACAAACCTTTGCGACACAAGTCAATTGACCCAATTGACCCACTGAGGGTCGCGACCCAGTCTTTTTGGGAAACAATGTCATATGTAACTGAAATGAACCATTTGGAGTTTTTTCTGTGCTGCTCTTTATATCACTGTGCATGTATTTCCCCTTTTATCTCTGCCCCACTTCTGTGTTTGTGATTGTTGTGCTCACTTCCAAGCCTGCTAAGTTCGCTAGCAGTAATATTTTCGAACCCTCCGTTCAATCATACCTGCAAATTTAAAACGAGGACGTCGTAGGATGTATATTTTTGTGTATCCATAACCACAGGGAATAATGCCAACTATAGCAACTCACCTGCACGTCAGTGCGGGACATACCTGGGCTGTTTGGCCGTGCCTCTGGAGCTGCTGGATGGTGTGGCAGTGGGTATGATGTTGCAGTGTTCCAAGTGGGACTTGCACATATTTCCCTGGCGAGCCTGTGTGGATCGTTTGTAGTACTGCACAGACATACGAGAGAACTATGAATTTTTGGCTTGTTGGTCTCTTTACATGTGTGAAATAAAGTCATTGTACAAGGTTTTTTTTGTACAAGGTTAACAGAGGAAAGCTATGAAATCTTACATAAGGTTTCATAGCTTACCTCTGTTAACCTCCCCGGTACTTTCATACACTCTATTAGCCTCCGGGTGGGTCTGACTGCTGCCTTTATTCTTTTTTTGCCTGGGCCCAAATCTACAATATTTTAGACTTTTCCATTCCGCCTTTTCTAACAACATCCAAACAAGTTTTTGAAAACAAGTGAATGATTTTTACTGAGGACGAGGGAGGAAATTTATAACCTAATGAAATGCTGTACTACTGATATGATGTAGTGTCAGAAAAAAAAACCCAAACACCTCTGAAGAATTTATATTAATTTCATCTTAATATCACTGGTGAACTATAATCATCTGGACATGGTTTCTGAGAAGACTAAATTTGAACGGGCAGTAAATAATTGAGAACCACTGTCCTAATGTCATCAACTCTGCAGCTGCTGTAATGTACAGTACATTACATGTTCATCCCAATACACGGTCAAATTCCTGTTTATCTTTTCATTCTACATTTTTCCCCTGTTTATAAATGTCTCCAATAATTACTTTGCAATGCAGTCCTGCAGGCTTATGGAGTTTTAAGTTGTCCTAAAAGATACAGTAAGTAGATAAATGACAAGAAGAGTTTTCGCACCTATCTGGGATTTATGTGTTACACTGTCAGTTAGACGCTACCAGTAATAATTTGTCTCTGTGGATATATTTTTAGGCCTTGGTAACAGAAGGTAAGAAAAAAAACATCTCTCTGTGCAACTTCCTGCTCCAAATTACTTTCTTACTTTTTTGTTCAGCCTTTCCAGTGTGATGGCTGACTAACAAGGTTGTCACTGACACTACTTTTTGATGCCTCTGCAGGACGCCAACCTCATTAGTTTCTCACAGGCTGTCATGGGTATATGTCCACTCTGATGCTTAAAGCCTGAATTACTGTAAATCCCATGATATTCTTTCTTTTACATGATGTACTGCTTATGAAATAGATTTCAAGTGAGAGAAAGAACGTTATACAACACATTTGATAATAGAAAGGGGTCATTACAAGAACTTCTTTCATGGCAGCGCGAGTAAAACATGGTTATCTTTGCTTATTTCAACTTACTTGGGAGTAAATAAAGCAAAATTCTGTGCAGATCAGTGATTCATTTTCGAAAGCTTGTTTGCAATTACCTGAAGAACTGTTACACAAACTGCAGGTGACAAGTCGAGGGTCGGCATAACATGCTCAATTTCCCAAACGGAACTGAGAGATTAATAAAGTTTAATCAATCAGTCAATCCATCTATCTATCTATCTATCTATCTATCCATCCATCCATCCATCCATCCATCCATCTATCTATCTATCTATCAATCAATCAATCTATCTATCTATCTATCTATCCATCTATCTATCCATCCATCCATCCATCCACCCATCCATCATTTCCATAGTTGACATATGATATGCAGGACCCTAAAGAGTTCAAGTCTCTGTACAATTATGTCCAAAGACCATACAACAACTGCACTGACGATTAGTGTGATTTTAAAGTCTCAACAACTGTTTGATACAAGGGGTTCAGTTAGCCTTCGACGCAATGGTCTTCTTCATCTTCTCCTTTCAGCTGCTCGCTTCAGCGGTTGACTCTGTGGATCAACTGCTCCATTTCACCTTTTCCCCTGCTTCCTCTACTGTTATTCTTAATTTCCATGCCTTTGTTCACTACATCTATAAACATTCAGCTCTATCACCAACATCAGATAAAAAAGCATCAGATGTCTTGGAAAAAAAGCACTAGTATTACTTAGAGATGATCTTATCTAATCAACCCCAATACAGTAAAAATACTGAAGTAAAACTGGACTGGGACTTGACTAAGGCCTTTTCATGTCGTGTACGTAAAACTTTTAGAATTTTTTTTTTTTTAAAGTATATTTTTATGTATGACACCAGTGCACTAAAAAAAAAAGGCAGTTCAGTTCATAGTAATTTTACAGTGCTGGTGCACTGCAGAGAAAATTGCACTAACAATCAGTGCTCTAGCAGACACGTACAAAATACAATCGAGCCAAACAGAGAATTTAAGCAACATGATGACAGTATTTTCTGGGGCGACACAAACATGAACTCAGCTGGAACTGTT